TTGATGAGCTGAATATGCGAATATTAATTTTAGTTTAAGCCCTATTAGCTGATCTAAAATATTTTTTAAAATATTGAAAGTTGTTGTCGTTTGAAAATTCAATTTGTATTCACATCCCATGCTGTACAAGATCAATTATGACTGTTCTCATAAATCATACATAAGTGCATTTTGATTTCGTTTATTTATTGTGACACAAAGTTATACATATAAGTTCAAATATATGTATAAGCAGGTATAATAATATAATTATAAATAACTTCATTTTATTATGCTTATGCTTACCTCCATTTTATTCTAAAGAAATGATCAAATATAAAGAAACTGAATTATTAAAGAAAAAAGAAATAGAAAATGTTATTTAACTGAATTGAACCTGTGGCTATTTTAAATCTACTTAACTAATACAAGAATACCTGGTTTTATACAAAATTCATTGCAATACACAACTACACAAATGTGTATTAAGTTGTATACTTAAACATTGGTCCTTAATAGGTTCTTACCGATATAGGAATAAAATACTTTGTGTATGTATGTAAGTATATAGATAAAAACACTTAAAAAACATAAATAGAAAATCTGTTCAGCAGAAATTTTTATTAAAAAGAAAAAACGAAAATTTCTTTTTTTTTTTGCTTTTTGTGAAAAGCAACATAAATGAGAAGAGGGTAAAATGGACATAAAAGTTTTCGTCATCACTTAAGACTTTCATTTTTTTTTTTCGAAATCGAATGACAAATGAATTAAATAAAATATAAATGACAAAACAGAATTATAATGACAAGAGCTGAGAAAACCATGAAAAAAATAAAAGAAATATCAACTGAACTACCAAAGCTATTTAATAGAAGAGAAAATAATCTGTACGAAATCGACCATTAAATCGAATTTTATAAAAGTTAAAAAGGCAAAATGCTAAATGTGATTGGTAAGTCTTACCGATTTTCAAATTTAATTTGTAAATACGGTATATTTTTTTTCAATATTTTACAACTCATTCAAATTATGTTGACTCTTCATTAAATTTACGAGTTTTTTTGGATATAGGACGGCATTCTTCGAATATTACAGCTTTTTGTAGAAAATTCTAACAGTTTTTGCGGAACATTGTACAATTTCTTATTATAAGCATTGTACAATTTCTTTCGGATGAGAAAGAATTACAGTATTGTAAGTCTTATTATGGAATTACAGAATTGGATACGTAACAGACCCCCCCTCCTCCCCAAACTTTGCCTTTTAATAAACATGGTTCGTCAAAATTCTATTTGAATTTCGCTAATCCATTTCAGAAGCTGTTCTCAGAAAATATTCTCCGTTTAATTTATTCACTTCAATACGCATTGCCTATTTCATTCACTTCCAGATAATTATGTTATTAAAGCTCATAAATTTTTCTAACATGTACTTGAAAAAATTTTTGATAAAAATTCCATGCATTATTATTGTTTCATATAGTAGCTGTAGCTTCCAGTCAAATTAGAAGGTGATTTTTAATGGCTTCATTTTCTTAGGGATATAAGAAAGAACTTCTTATAAATTCTTTAATAAAGAATTTACCGAAAATGTTGCACTTATTAGTAACTCCCACAGAGTTCTTCCACCTTAGATTATATTCAATATTAGCGCCTGACTTCAAGGAACCCGTCGTTCGTAGGGTCGACTGGTGAGTACAATCGAAACAGGCGATGCAAAATATTTGATTGATCATCATATTATCTCCGCCCCTATTTATATTATAAATATGGGAGAATTTCCTTTATTCGTTTAATTGCAAAAATTCTTTCTGTTTTCCGGCCGACTTCATATTTATAATATTCAAATTAACTGAAATGTTAGGAAAAGAGCTTAAGAATATGAAAAGTGGAATATGAAAACGAAGTGGTATAACCATTTTCTTCCTCAGCAATCTTATTACATTTTGATGTTCCTACTTACATAATATTTAAAAGAAATAAAAATTCTGGTATTTTATTAAGAAAAACAAATAACTCTTAAAGTGGTCCTAAAAAGAAATTTATGAAGCTGAAAATAGAAATGTTGAATTATTTAAAATCTATTTTCAATGAACCACTAGCAGTAAATTTAATTATCTGCCTAAAATATTAAATTCTTATTATTGTCCAAAATATCAAAGTAACTATACGACATTTTTATATTACGTTATACACTAAGAGTAACATCTGCATAGACTTATCATGCATTATACAAAACATCTATTTACACATATGTATATTTATGTAGAATATGTAAAAAAATGTTTATTTGTATAGAAATATTATGTATAAGTAAAAGTAATTTGAAACAACTGTTAATTTTATTTGTTATTAAAAAATAAGGTTAATTTTAAAGCATAGGAAATTAAGAAAATGTCATCAAAGTCGGCCATTGCTTTTACAAAAATAAGTATTTCATTAAGGATAAATACAAGGATACGATGTCGTTACTATAAAAATAAGAGCACATAGTAAAATTTTATTGTGTAACGAAAATTTGTATTATGAAAAATTTTACTATGGGCATTATTTTCGGTTGAAAAATTTATTAAAATATTCTTCTTCTTTTCTATTTCATTGCAAACTTTTATTTTAGGTTTTAAAATTCGAACATAAAAATGTACAGAATATAAGCAGCAAAATATATTTTTTGTAGTTATATTGACCTATTCGAGTGTGACAAACACAAGAAAATATGAATTTTATAGCACAATTATTTGAAATTCTTTTAAGATGATTCTGACGTACAATTTATGTGATTGTTAAATTTTCGCAAATTCTTCCATTATACCAAGTAGAGTGCAAGTTATTCTTGTGTTAACATAAAATATGCCTAGATAAATTTGGATTTATTTTTAATTAAAACCTTCTCATAAATGAGCTCTTTTAGTATAATAGTACGAATAATAAAATTTAAAAACAAATTTTAAAAATGAAAATTGTGAAAATCAAAATATACAGTTATTCTTAATTGTGGGTGCTGTTGCATTTTAAAAAGTAGTCGTGGATCATCCGATAATTTTTTCTGTTTGTTTCATCGTCATCATCACTTTGTTGAAAATAAATCATCATTTTATTTTGTTTTTTAGCAATAAATTTTTAAAATGAAGACGCGCTGCTTACTCGTATTGACAGGATAGCAAATTGAAAAATTAATTAAAATTAGAACACCTTACATAACTTAACTGTACGTACCAATTTATATATTTTTAAATACACTCTAGCTCTTAATTAGCGAATAAATTTTAGAATTCATATTCAAAGGTTTACTTTGGGGCAAGTTACATACCATTTCGCCACATTGTCTGAATTCAATTGAATTTTAGGAATTATCGTTTTGAGTTATTTCTGAATCAACACGAATTATAGAATTGATAATTAATATCTTGCAATTATTTACATTTGCCTGAAGTAACATAAAAACTTTAAAATGTTTCGGTTTCTATTTTATTATAGAAATGATTGACGCCCCAACATTGTTTCAAAATTATTAGCAGGCCAATTTTCACAACCAACTTATTGATTCAAATCAGAATTTTAAATTAGAATGTAAAAAATAATTGTATGCCTACACAATTTTATGGTCATCAATAAAATTTTTTTGTCGCTGAACTATAATTCGTAATAGAGAAATGCTGGCACATATTATTTTATTCTTTAAGCCAATTAAAAGCGGTAAAGTATTACTGATTTCAGTTTAGAAACCGTAGGGGCGACTTAAGCACAAAATTTTTTACTTTTGACTAGAGTGGAAAAAGGATTTCAACACCACAGTGAAATAGTATTACAAGCATTAGGCTATAGTTTTACAGCTTGGTGAAGGGCCAAACTAAACAAAATTCAAGAAAAATACTTGAAATAATATTATTGTCACTAAAACACTGAAAAATTTTTGTTTAAATTTTCCCTACATAATTTATTTTTCTTGGTATAACCAAATAAACTCAAATAAATCATTTAAAATTTCTTTTTGTTGCATTGAATTTAAAAATTGTTCTTTTTTGGAATTCTTTCATTTCAAACCATTTAAAATTATGAGCACTTCAATTAAAAACCAATAAAAAATTATTGAAGAAAAGGTTACAGGCAACATTTTTTTTATTTTTATTACAGTTTTTACTCACCTGCATTTTACCGGCCACATTTGATTCAATAAGAGCGGTTATGTGATGGCACAAAATTTCACATTTTGAAGCTTCAACTGGAATGAAATTCTTCGTGATAAGAAAATATAAAAAATTTGGTTTTAGAGATGTCTTTTTCTCTTTCGGTTTGCCCCATTGGGAACCTGTAAATTTCGATTTCGGCTAAAGTGACGGTTTAATGAAATTTTATATTTGAGTTTGATTCAGTCATGTCACGAATTGATCAATTTTTGGGGATAATATGCCAAAGCTTTGTGCACCTTTATTACTAGCTAAAATTATATTTTTGATAATTTTAAAAGATATATTGAATAGGTTTCTAAGTGACAAAGATGAAAATTCGTTTTACTAAGAAAAATTAACTGCCCGCAAGCAATTAAAGCCTTTCATGCCATGCTCTGCATTCAATACACGTGCCGAATTTATAGTTTTGCTGATTTTTCTTGAAAATGGGCTAGAATAAAGGAAACCTCTTCTAAAAACCAAATTTACATTCCACTAGGTATAAAACTTACTAGTCTTGTGTAACATTTACGCCAACTCATAAAATACTTTTGACAGTCGGCTATGTGCTCATCACATCAGATATTTTTATTCCTTTCAATATCTTTGTTAATTTGCCAATTTTAAAAATAAATTTAAATTAATTGTAATTATTTTAATTTTTTATTCCCTTTTTCTCTTTCAGACTTAAACTGTAAACGTTTAAAATAAACAAAAAAACAACATCAGGTCTCCACCTATAATCGAAACAATCGAATCAAATGTTTTCATTGAACATCAAATTTGGGCAAAAAAGTTAAAAATTTTTGAAAAACAAAAAAAAATTTAAACAAAAGACAAAAAGAAAGAAAAAAAGAGTAATCAAATAAAATTCGTGTATTTGCGCGAATGTAAAACAAAAAAAAAACCAAAACCCAGGTCTGAGAATTTAAAACGCCCGCTCCTTAATTTTACAGAGTAAAAAAAGAAAAACAAAAAACGTTGTAATGTGAAAATTCAATTGAAAAACAACAAAACTAATTTATTTTAATACTTTTTTACAATTTTATTGTTTTTTAAATTTTATTTTTCCACTTTTTTTTGTTCTTCTAAATTAATTTTTTTCGTTTCTTTTTAATTTTTTTTTTTTAATGGCTTGAATGGCTTAAAAAATATTTACCGTTATTTTTAAGAACATAAAATTCCATTTACTTTTTTGTTATTGTTTTTCCTTTAAAATTTTACTCTCTTCATCTTTTAACAAATTAACAACGCCAAGAATTCAGGGGCAAAAATAAAAATTTTATAGAGAAAATATTAGAAGAAGACGACACTGAAGCAACCAACACTGAAGTACCATAAAATGTAAGTCTAAAGAATCCTTTTTTGGTTTCATTTTTCTTTTAATTATTAATTACAAAAAAAAGAAGATAAAATTTTTGCTATTTCTTGTTTATTTTTTTAATTTTCTTAAAATAGAAAATTAAATTTAAGGATATTGTATCCTTTTTATTTTTATTTTTTCTTTCAAATTTAACTAGATACTAAGTATATACAATTTTACATAATATTTTTTATATTTGCAATTATATTGAATTTTTGCTTTGTAAAATTTTATTAGACTCCAAATGATATTTTTGAAAATTAGAATTAATTTTTAAAAATTTCTCCTTGTTTTTTCTGTTTTTGGACATAAAATTGCTTGGTAATTAAAATGTATAAAATTTTTTTCCTTCAATAAGAAGATTTTTTTTATAGTAATTTTATTAGAATTTTTAAAGAAGATTTTTTCTTATTCTAGCTATAGCTGCTTTTAAAATAATTTCTAGTATACAAGTATATCATAGTGCATGGCAGAAAATAAGAAAATTTACCATTGAATTAAGCTATTTAACTCTTTGCTTTAATAATTAAAAATTTTAATTAATTTAATAAATTAAAATTCACTTCATTTTCATATTTTGTCTATTGAAATTAACAAAAATTTTAATATTTCATAATGGTGTTTACTATCTTCTTAAATGTGATTTATATTTCAAAAATATTAAAAAATTATATTATAATAAATTAGTTTATATGCGCCCTTTAAATCTTAGCTGCTCGTATGCTATTTTACAATAATTATTATTAATTTATAATTTTAAGATTCTTAGAATTTTACTTAAATTAATTTGATTTTTATATATTTCAAGTGCTTGAATTAAATTTAGAAATTGCAAATAATAAAGTAATTGGAAAATAAACAATTTTTAAGTATATAAGTATGTATATATGTAAGTATTTTTGTATATATTTTATTGGATAATTATTTTTTTCGTAGAAAAGTATAATATTTTTAATAGGCCAAAAGAATTTTAAATATCGTATATAATAATAATTAATTAGTTATATTGATTAATGAAAAGCGTGCCAATCAATAATAATTTGTATATAACTAGTGATTCTAAGAAATTTTTAAAATTTTTGTACTCTGAGCCTTATTTACTAAGTGTTCTTGTAGAATTGAAAAAGTATTTGATTTAATTCTTAGCATCATTTAATTTAAAATTAAAAAAATTTAATTGTTGCATGTAATTTTTAATGTATTTTAATTTGTAAAGCTTTATGTCAATGCATTCGAATTAAAAATTTTTAGAAATCACAAATTAAATTTATTAACTTTGAAAGAATTTACTACAGAATTTTCTTGGAATATATGACTTTTAAAATTTAAATTATGTATATAGAACAATCTAAACGAAATTTTAGGAAATATATTTTGTATAAAATTTTTCAATTAAGCGATTTTTTTTGAAAAATATTGTCAGATTTTTATCATTACGTATTAATTGAACTTTTTTGAAAAATTTAAAAATTAAGCACATATCATTTATGTGGGAAAATTTATGAAACAATAATATTCAATTCGAAAATCAATCGAAGTTCTTGGTAAACTAGGGAATCCAAGTCCGGATTTTGAAATTCCGTAATTATAAAATTCATTTGTTTATATAAAATTCGAAACTCCGGAATCCGAACGAATTTAATTTTGGATTATTCGGATTTCTATGTTGCACGTTTTCCCTTTTCTAATTAATATAATTAAAAAACTCTAACATAATCGACCACAATATACCTAAATTGACTAGTTTAATAAAAGTGTTACAGAATTGTGGATTTAATTTTTTGACAAAAATTGGATTCACTATTCCATACTTACAAATAAATAATTTGCTTACAATGAAGTAAAAATTAAAAGTTAATATAAAATAAAAAATTTATAGTATGCGTCGTCAAGTTGCAATAGACCTCAAAACCCAACAGGTTGAATTCGGTTTTGTAATTAAAATTTTCAAATTTTATTTTTGATCAAAAATATGCAGATAATTACTGGCTCACCCTCCTGAAGCTATGCAATAGTGTATGTTTTAACACTAACATGTTAATTTGTTATTATGAATTACTATGTAGATTAAGATTATATAACATACTTATATTTTTATAAAAATTAGGGTACCAGCGAGTTATAAAATAATTCTCTGAAATTTTCTTGTGTTAAAATGCATAAAACTTTCAAAAATTGTATTTTCACATTGATTTGGTGTTTTGTGATGTAATTTGAAAATATTCGGAAGTTATAATATTGTAAATTTAACCGACTTCCCTTTAAAAAGCTTATATAGTATTGAGAAATTTCTTTTACTTTCTGTCCAAATAATTCAGTTAATCTTCATAAAGTAATTCTGTTTCAAAACAAATTTTCTACAAAAAAATAAAATTAAATTATTTTTATTTTAATTAAATCTTGATCCAATAAAACTAAAATATTTGTACATATATGTAATATATGTATGTATTTTGTTTTAAATATTCCTTCTGTAGCTAAAGAAAATGTAAAACACTCCAACACGGAATATGAAAATGTAATTTAATTTCCAGAAGTTGAAATAAAATATTTGTATAAATTTATTATTTGGTTAGTTCAGTTAACAAATTAGATTTAGGAAGTTAGAAAATTTATTTTACATTATTTAAATTCATGTAAAAAATTTGCAAATTATATTTTGCATGCAATACTAAAATAAAAACAATAAATAATTTGAAAATGTTGAATTAATTTAACAAATTACTCGGATTTGTTAAATTTTAAAAAGTAAAAGGGATAACGAAAATTTTTCTCAAAAAACTGTTTGTTTTTTTCCATGGTATTAATAATTAACTTTTTATTCACTTTGCAATAAAAGTGCATAAAAATTTTTCCAAATACATATTTATTACGTAACTTGCCCATTAATTTGAAATATAACGAAAGTTCTTGAAACCACTGGCAAGGATTCACATTTGTTTTACTTACAAATTTATTTTTTAACACCCAAAACATTCAAAAACGTATGGGTATTTTGCATACATAATTAACATATTGGAGTTATTTTTAGTTTATATACATTCTCGGGAATTATGAATTATTTGTGAAAATTTGTGATCTAAAATGCTCAAGCAAATAAGCTCCTTGTCATGACTTCACAGAGAATAAATTAACTTCGATTTCAAATCGAATTTGAAAAATCACATGCAATGTTTTGAAAAGTTTCTCCATTGTTAATTTGCTACTCGTAATGCTGCTATTTTTCTAATGTCCACTGACATATCAGAAAGGAATTGTTGAACAGGATTTAAAAGTTGTAAAATATTAATAAATAATATACTTATAACTATTACAGCCTTACATCTATCAAGAGGATAAATCACGGCCCTATATACTGTGGTTCTTAGAATTATTTAATTTACATGAAATTGAAGAGCTAGAGCTAAGAATATTTCGAAATGTACGACTGTATATCGAAATGCGTAAGTTTGCATATGTGATACATTTTTAATGCAGTTTTTCTTGTATTTAATATACTCCTCATATTTGAATTCTGAAAGTCTTACATATGTAGGTTGTTCCTTTGTTTTTGGACTGACAAAAAAATTCATCATAATAATTCTAGTTCTTAAACTCAAACAAACTTAATAAGGTACTCGTATATAATTATTTGTTAAGATTTTTTGCCTGATTATAACAATAGGTTTATCCTTTTTGTCTATAATATTAACTTGTTTAGAGTTATGAAGAAATAATAGATGGAACAAACAAATTTTTATTTTCTCTTGAAAAATTTTCTTTCAAAAAATGAGTCACAAAATCTTTCCTTCACAACATGATTAAACTTTAACGCTAACATTATCTTTACCTGAGAAGTTAAGATATAAGAAAAAGCATTTTATAAAAAAATTACATTTTAATTTAAAGAAATAGGTCAAAAACAGAAAGGGACAGATAGTCTTTCGTTTTGTATTTAATTTGAATTTAATGTACAAAGTTTTCCGTATTATATTTGAAAAAGGATAACAAACTTTACATTTATAAAAATTTTTTAGCAAATGCAGATTGCAAAATTTCCCATATAGGATTTGAGCCGAAAGGAGAAAAATAATTTTGTGTACCTTTGAAAAGACAAAATGAAAAGTGACATTTATTATATTTTCAAGGGTTCATTAAAGGATATTTTTAGTTTTTGTTTTTTATTTTTATCTTGACAATGCGAAGTAGATATACAATAATGACACGAATTGTCATCATTGTGCATGTGAAAAGGATAATTTACAGAGTGAAGTCTTTCTTCCTTTTTATTCATAATTTGTCTCTTTGTTGTTGTATAGAATGTAGATTTATAATGTAAAATAGACTGTCTGAGTATAGTAATGTAGAAGAATTTAAAACTATCAAAACAATTCGAAGAGTCGTAATAGTTTTGATGCTTTTACAAGACACCAAGCACTAAACCAAAAAAATGGAGATATCGGAACTGAAGAATCCCCCTGATTCGCCTGGGAAAATTCCCTAAGAATACCTGCTGGAACCAAGGAAAACTCCAGCGAGCCTATTAATCTAAAATTAGTTAACAGAGTAATTTTAGTGTGTTTAGTCTAAAGAAAACTTTAAGAAAATATTAGTCACATACACAAAATACAGGGTAATTCAACAACAAGTTAAGGGTCAGATACATTCAAATAAATTGTCGAAAATAAGTAAAATTTTTGCTTGAACAACAGTGTTAAATCAGAACTGTTTGGAAGCTATAGGGATTTCAAGCAAATTTATTTAAGCAAAATTTTTAGCACACCTAAGTTTTTTTGCTTATAACTTTTGCTTATAACTGTTTATAACTTAAAATAAAGAATAGTATATCATTTGGTTTTACACGTTTTTTCGGAAATTCAAGTATTTCAATTTTAAAAAATTTCAAATTTTCCAGAGATTCTAATTAAATTTTTTTTCCCAGACCAGAAATTATTTTTGTATCTCTTTACAATTAAGATTTCTTTAGTAAATGCGATTTGCT